AAACTGAGACTGATGGTAGAAAAGCAGCCATACAGTTTTTATCTGGAGGTAAAATAATTATATTTTCATTGTTATTGGATGTGATAGAAGAAAAAACATGATGATGCTCAAGAGTTGGCTCAGCGATATCAATGAGTTTACTGTGAAATCTAAACCCAAAGACTCTTTTCTAAGAATACCCATAAATAAAGCACACACAATTTTAATTGTTTATAAATTCATGATTATACCGAACACTTTGCAGCGAATAGAGTTAACCATAAAAATAATCCAGTAAGGCCATGTCTTTACCTCTGAAACATCAACAGCTCACATTCCATAACAACATCTTTTGAAAATGCCAGATAAATAATTTAAATCACTGTTTTCAAATTGGGTTTTCATCCCACGATCATAGAGGCAGGATGATGCAGCAGCTGAATCTGAAGCAGAAAATAATAAAAATGTAAAGAGCAGACTAAATGTTGAGCTCTAAATACTCTATCGTCTTGTTCCCTGTGAGTTTATTTATAGATGTTCATGTAAAAGAACCAACCAATGAAAATAAATAAATAAATAACAGCAGCAGCTGCAACAACCACACAGAGACAATATTCTACAAGGGATCATCTTAAATTATCTACAATTAATGTTGAAGTCACACTACGTCTCAAACAAGAGGTATTTTAGACAAATAAGCAGCAGGGGTTAAAGCACAACTTTCAACTACTTTCCAAAGCCGCAGAAAACAAAATGACAAGCCCAGCAGCATGAGCATGGTCACACAGCTGCTCAACAGACACCTTGACCAGAAGAACAAAACAGCAGCAGCATCTTAAAGGTCTGTGGAAAACAGAACTCTGAGGTTTGGTCAGAATTTTTTCTAAGTTTAGCAAACTAATAATTATATACTGTTGTGACGATCACAGGGGAAGAACAACACTGATGTAAAATAAAAAGTCTGACCTACTCGCCGGTTATAAAAGTATTAGAGATGTATTTTGGATTAAATGTGATCAGAGGAATTCTTGAGCAAAAACAACACCAGACTTGGGAAAATGAGACATACGTAGTATTTAAGCACAGCTGAAACAGATTAAAGCAGCATGGATGTGGTTCAGTAATAACATCTACCAGTGAAAAGGCATCACCTTGTTTACTTGTGGTTGGTTGTATTACCTTAAATGCACACCTCAAAATGCCTCCTACTGAGCCTCCACATGCAGACTGATTTGTATTCCTAATGATTTCTCTGGAACCGAGCACAACAGCTGCAGAAACTCATTGTGTCAACATGCGTTTGAAATTCCTAAACTTTAGAATCAATGTAAATAAAACACATGCTGTTGGAAAATCCCAGCTTTGATCATGCTTGGTTATACAAGAGGAAATCTCCCTCCGTCTGATTTTGAATAATCTTGATTATATTTTATTTTTTAGATTTCACATTTATCCAGGTCAGTTGTCGTGGGACTTTAAATCTGCCTCCATCCTGATAACTGACCTCCTTGTTTTATGTAACTAATCTTCATCCCACTGTTGATGCCTGCTTGGCTTGTGAATATTTCCTGAGTCTGTGTCTTTCACAGAGCAGGATGTAATCTAAAATCTGTTTCACACATAAGACTCGTCTATTTCAGCTCATTTCTTTTATTAGAGAACGCTGCAGATCAAAATGGCTGCTGAGCATCACGACCACAAATGCTGCACAGGGTTAGTGAGGCTGAGGTGGATACCACGTGCTTCCTCCCCTCCCCCGATGCCTCTCTCCTCTTCATCAACACAGTTTTGCCTCCCTCCTCTTAGACTCCACAGAACACAAATGCACCATCATTCTTGAGACAGTTTAAACCTTTAATGACCAAATATATGTTTATTTTATTACGTTTATATATTTAAATTGATTTCTTGTGTTGAAGACAATCTGGAGCGCAATCCTCCCTCACGTTTGTGTGTGTGCAGCCCTGCTGCATGGTGTTTGGGAGAGAAGTAGGTCACTGAAAAACTAGTGCAGTGTTGTGTTTCTCTCTCTGAGGGTCTTTAAAGCTTGGATAGAAACCAAATGATTTAAAAAACAGAAAAGTAGTCGTCACACCTCAGCTGACCATCAGAGCAGATTCTTTAACATGCACTAGCCTGAAGATTATAATAATCAGGGTTAATAGTTCCAACATATCCAAACACTGAAGAGTATTTATTTCCTCCTGCCATCAGGTTTCAGATGAGACAAACAACAACAAATTATATTAATTTAGAAATTTACAGAAAAAAAGACTATTAGGAATAAAAGAAAAGGAGCATGGATCTGAGACTAGATTCAGTTCAAGTCCAATGCAAGCAGGGTGTACGGTCAAAACAAAGCAACAAAAATGGATGTCACATGTTAAATGTTGCCCTCCCCCCAAAAAAAAATAAAAATAAAAAATAAATTAAAATTAAAATATCCAATATCTCAAAAGCAAACACTAAACAACATTGAGACTGGTTACTTTCTGTTAAATAAGTATATGCTATTTTAGAATATTTATGGAAAAAGTGTGATTGTTTTAAAACTCGGCTGCGCAGTGGCACAGTGGTTAGAGTTGTTGCCTTGCAGCAAGTAGGTCCTGGGATCTTTCTGCATGGAGTTTGCATGCTCTCCCTGTGCGTGCGTGGGTTCTCTCCGGGTACTCCGGCTTCCTCCCACAGTCCAAAGACATGTTAGGTTAAATGGTCTGTCCAAATTGTCCTTAGGTGTGTGTGTGTGTGATTGTTTTTCCTGTGTGTCTCTGTGACCCCCCCCCCCCCCCCCCCCCCCCCGACAAGCGGGTTCAAAGATGGATGTTTAAAATATGAAATCTGACAAATTTGCACAGAACATTTCGTTTTTGCAATGTTCTTAAGCTATTTCTGTTTTTACTAAGGGTTTATCAGAATTTAGACACAAAAAAACTCCATCACAGAAAAATAATAGTATGAATAATATTTTTAAATCTTTGCACAGATAGGGGAATACATAGATCACATTATCAAAATCAGATAATCAGATAATTTTTGTGTCACGATATTTGGTGTTCAAGACCTAAACATGTCAACGTTATTAACTTCAACAGCAGACACGTAGTGGAGTTTGATCTGTTTACTTTTACAAAAGTAAAAGTTTCTTATTTTAAAACAAAACCTATCACAAACTAGAACCTGCACGTGAGATTTCAAGGAAATTAGTGAAAAATGTAAACACTAACAGTAACTAGTAAAGCATCTGATCTCACCTCTGTAAGGGTGCTGTTCTCTGACTCAGTTTTAAGTCGTGGAACGGTCCGGGTAGCATTGTGGTCAACAATCAGAGTATTCTGACTGAATGGTCTGGAACATTTAACGTCACTCATCCGGGAATCAGTAGTTCCGTAAACCTCGTAATTAAAACCTTGCTTCAAGGTGCCAGTTCCACCCGCGTCTGCGTAAAGAGGGGGGTAATAGGGAATGACAGGAAGGTTCCCGTTGGATTTATAAAACATGCGCTCCTGTCTCCATCTGTAGATTTTCACTGAGATGATAACCACCAAACAGGTGATGAAGAGGAAGGAAACTACAGCCAGAGCCAAGACTAAGTAAAAAGTCAGGTTGTCGTTGTACTCCTTGTCGTGTGTAGAGTCAGTGAACTCCGACAGCACTTCAGGGAAGCTGTCCGCCACCGCCACGTTAACAATGACTGTAGCTGAACGAGAGGGCTGGCCGTTGTCCTCCACTATAACAGTCAGTCTTTGTTTCACAGCATCTTTATCAGTCACTTGACGGATAGTTCTGATTTCTCCATTCTGTAAGCCCACTTCAAACAGCGCCCTGTCTGTGGCTTTCTGCAGTTTATAGGAGAGCCAGGCGTTCTGTCCAGAGTCCACATCAACAGCCACCACTTTAGTCACCAGATAGCCCACTTCTGCTGAACGAGGCACCATCTCAGCCACCACGGAGCCTCCAGTCTGGACCGGGTACAGGACCTGAGGGGGGTTATCGTTCTGGTCCTGGATCAGTATTTTCACAGTCACGTTGCTGCTGAGAGGAGGAGAGCCTCCATCCTGCGCTTTGACGCGGATCTGAAACTCTTTAATCTGCTCGTAGTCAAAAGAGCGCACTGCAAGTATCTCCCCACTCTCTGCATTCACCGAAAAATAAGCGGAAGCTGACATTCCATTAAGCTGGCTGTCCTCCAGGAAATAAGAAACTCGTGCATTGTTTCCGTAGTCCTGATCCCTGGCCTTCACCGTCAGCAGCGACAGGCCAGGTGAATTATTTTCAGCAACAAACGCGGTTAGATGATTTTTAGGGAATTCTGGTGCGTTGTCGTTTACATCTGATATTTTCAAATGGATAGTTTTGTTCGCAGAAAAAGGCGGAGAGCCTTCATCTACTGCTGTTATGGTGATGTTGTAATCGGGAACAGTTTCTCGGTCCAGAACATCATCAGACACCAGGCTATAAAAGTTCGTTGTTGATGACTGGATTTTAAAAGGTAAATCCGAGTTTATAAAACACCGAACGTGGCCGTTTTTACCCGAGTCCAAGTCTTTGATGTTGATCATCGCTATAACAGTATTCAGAGCAGAATCTTCAGGGATGGGATTCGAGAAAGAAATTATGCTGATCGTCGGATGATTATCGTTAAGGTCAGCGACGTCAATTTGCACCTTGCTTGCGTCTGACAGCCCCCATTTGTCTGTAGCTTCAATATCTAATTCATACATCTTATTTTGTTCATAATCTAAAACACCAGTCACCGTAATTTCCCCAGAATGAGGATCGATTTTAAACAAGGATGACGCACGACTGTGTTGTGAGAATGAATACGTCACCTCCTCGTTTGCGCCCTTGTCATCATCAGTTGCACTGACTCTTAGGATAACTGTGCCTTGCGACGCGTTTTCATGAACAGTGACCCTGTAAACAGACTGACTAAAAACCGGAGCATTGTCATTTGCGTCCAAAACAACCACATTTATTTTAACAGATCCTGATTTCTGAGGACTCCCGCCGTCAAAAGCCGTCAAGGTTAATTTATGTTCCTCCTGCGTTTCTCTGTCTAACTGCGTGTGAAGAACCATCTCAATATACTTCGTTCCATCTGGTCTTGATAAGATGTTTAATTTAAAATGATCGGTGGGGTTTAGTTTGTACGACTGAATCGTGTTTTGAGCTACATCCGGGTCTCTGGCACTCTCGAGTGAATATCGAGATCCCTGGTAGGCTGATTCACTAACCTGAAAATTATATTCTTTCTTGGAAAAAAACGGGGAGTTGTCATTAATATCTGTAATCTCTACATCGACCCTGTGCAGCTCCATCGGATTTTCTAGAATAATCTGGAAATGAAGCGAGCAGGGAGACATTTGCTTGCACAGTTCCTCTCTGTCCATCCTTTTAGACACAACCACCGTCCCTTTGTCTGCATTCAGACCGATGTACTCACTGCCATCCTCGGTGAAAATCCTAGCCCGTCCGGATTTGAGTCGTTTAACATCCAAACCCAGATCCTGCATGATATTCCCAACAACAGATCCCGAAGCCATCTCTTCAGGTATTGAATAACGAATCTGACCGACAGTCATTTCTGCGACACAGAAATACAGAAGCAGACGCAACCTCGGAACCATTTTCCTTTTAGGTTCATGTGACAGAGCAGCCATCATTAAAAAAAATTGCGAATACAACAGAAAAAAGGCTCGTGAAACCGCGATGGTGCGTTGAATCAGGAGTCCATTGCTGAGTGTAGGGTGGATCTCTTTGTCGGGTTAGCTGCGATTAAAATAGAGGAGGGAGGATTTCATGCTACAAAATAATATTTTTCTCACACACTAACCAACAGCGGCACTTAGAGACGTGAAGAAGAAACTACAGAAACTGATTTATATATATATATATATATATATATATATATATATATATATATATATATATATATATATATATATATATATATATATATATATATATATATATATATATATATATAACTGAGAGATAAAAAGAGACAGACAGGCACCTAGATAAATAGATAGATCGATAGATAGATAGATAGATAGATAGATAGATAGATGATAGATAGATAGATAGATAGATAGATAGATAGATAGATAGATAGATAGATAGATAGATACATAGATAGATAGATAGATAGATAGATAGATAGATAGATAGATAGATAGATAGATAGATAGATAGATAGATAGATAGATAGATAGATAGATAGATAGATAGATAGATAGATTTAGTGCAAAAAATAACAAGGGAAGGAGAAAATGTATAGGCAATGCCTTTGACTCTGTCCATGGTGCTGACTGCAACCGACTGACAACCAGCACCCTATATGATAAAATTAAAATTTATTTGGATCATTTTAACTAACATAGATAGATAGATAGATAGATAGATAGATAGATAGATAGATAGATAGATAGATAGATAGATAGATACATAGATACATAGATACATAGATACATAGATAGATAGATAGATAGATAGATGATAGATAGATAGATAGATAGATAGATAGATAGATGATAGATAGATAGATAGATAGATAGATAGATAGATAGATAGATAGATAGATAGATAGATAGATAGATAGACTGATAGATTGATAGATTGATAGATAGTGCATTACTACTTTGTGAATGTAATAAATACATTTTATATGATGTGCACTATTTTAATTACCTGCCACCAGTTTTGGCTTCTTACTGAAGGCTTGAGGTGAAAAGCTTAAAATGTTGCGAGGTAAATAAATCGACCTATAGAGTCTATTACACGAAAGTTCATTTTAGAAGGATGAATAGATATAAATGCAAAAACATTACGGGAAATAGAAAAAAGGCCAGTTAACATTAATCACTCTGTCCATGGTCCTGACTGCAAAAGTAGGCACAGTGATCCGTGTGGTATGATACCATTATTTGGATGTTTTTATCACATGAACTTACTAATACTCGTATCAACTAACCTCTAAAGGAGAGTCAGGCTCATCCAGGATGCTCTTCTCACCCTGCATCCTCTGCATGGTTCCTGTAGAACTGGGGTCCATTACCAACACGTTCTGACTAGCAGCTCTGCCGAACTTACAGTCACTCTTTCTGGAGTCAGTGGTCCTGCACACCTCGTAGTTGTACACATGTTGGAGAGTTCCTGTCCCCAGCGTGTCTGAGTAACGTGGTGGATAATATGGAATGACAGGGAGGCTGGAGTGATACAGGATGCGAGACTGTCTCCATCTGTAGATTTTCACTGAGATGGATAACCACCAAACAGGTGATGAAGAGGAAGGAAACTACAGCCAGAGCCAAGACTAAGTAAAAAGTCAGGTTGTCATTGTACTCCTTGTCGTGTGTAGAGTCAGTGAACTCCGACAGCACTTCAGGGAAGCTGTCCGCCACCGCCCACGTTAACAATGACTGTAGCTGAACGAGAGGGCTGGCCGTTGTCCTCCACTATAACAGTCAGTCTTTGTTTCACAGCATCTTTATCAGTCACTTGACGGATAGTTCTGATTTCTCCATTCTGTAAGCCCACTTCAAACAGCGCTCTGTCTGTGGCTTTCTGCAGTTTATAGGAGAGCCAGGCGTTCTGTCCAGAGTCCACATCAACAGCCACCACTTTAGTCACCAGATAGCCCACTTCTGCTGAACGAGGCACCATCTCAGCCACCACGGAGCCTCCAGTCTGGACCGGGTACAGGACCTGGGGGGGGTTATCGTTCTGGTCCTGGATCAGTATTTTCACAGTCACGTTGCTGCTGAGAGGAGGAGAGCCTCCATCCTGCGCTTTAACGTGAAACCGGAAGTCTTTGATCTGCTCGTAGTCAAAAGAGCGCACTGCGTGGATGACTCCGCTATCAGCACTAACGGACACATATGAGGAGACCGGAACTCCGTTAACGGAGGAGTCCTCCAGTATGTAAGAAACACGGGCATTCTGGTTCCAGTCAGCGTCTGTGGCTTTCACTGTGAATATAGAGAGACCTGGTGTGTTGTTTTCTACAATGTAGGCCTCATATGAGCTCCTCTCAAAGACAGGCGCGTTGTCGTTCACATCAGAGATCTGTAAGGTGAGAGTGACGCTGCTGGAGAGGGAGGGCACTCCTTCATCAGAGCAGCTCACCGTGATGTTATACTCAGAGGCTCTCTCCCTGTCTAACTCGCTGTCTGTCATTAAACTAAAGAAATTTCCAGTTGATGCCTTCATCATAAAAGGAATATTTTCATTAAGGAAGCACGACTTTTCCGTTTTCACCAAAGTCAGCATCCTCTATATTTATCATCGTCACAACAGTACCGTGTTTAGCATCTTCTGAAATAATGTTTGACTTTGACATAATCTGAATATCAGGTTTATTGTCATTCACGTCAATGACGTCTATAATCACTTTGCATGCATCAACCAGTCCTCCGTCATCACTAGCACGGATATTTATCTGAAATGATTGAGCTTTTTCATAATCTACATTCCCCTTTAGTCGGATTTCACCCGTGTCTGCGTTTACTTCAAATAACCCACGCGCATTATCGAGCATGCTGGATACTGAATACGTTATTCTACCATTAGACCCTTCATCTGCATCAGTAGCAGTAACCGTCCTCACCACCGCTCCTACGGGTGAATTTTCTCTGACTGAGGCTTTATAAACAGACTGTGTAAATACAGGAGCGTTATCATTAGCGTCCAAAACGGTGATTATAATCTGCATTGTTCCCGTCATCTGCGGCTCTCCGCCATCCAGCGCAGTCAGAACCAAAGAGATCTTCTCCTGTTTCTCTCTATCGAGAGGTTTCTCTAAAATCATTTCAACATTTTTCGTTCCATCCGCCTGATCGTGTAATCTAAGAACAAAATTGTCAGTGGGGTGCAGCTTATATCTCTGTAAGCCGTTCACACCCACATCCAGATCGACAGCGCGATCTAAAATGAATTTCGCCCCACGGACGGCGGACTCACTGATTTTAAATTCCACGTCATTTTTTTCAAACGAAGGTGAGTTATCATTAACATCCGTTATTTCAATGGTTACGCTGTAAAACTCCATGGGGTTTTCTAATAGAATCTGGAAGTGTAAGGCACAAGGCGTCGTTTGCGCACAAAGCACCTCTCTGTCTATCCTGTTCTTGATTAGGAGGACGCCTCGTTCTTTACTCATCTCAACATATTCACCCCCTTCTCGACTAAATATCCGAGCGTTTCCAGATTTTAATCGTTTAACATCCAAGCCAAAATCTTTAGCCATGTTACCAACTAGAGATCCTTTAGGCATTTCCTCCGGAACGGAATAGCTGACCTGCCCAAGCACCGAGCTGGAGGTGAGGAGCGACAAAAACAACAGCACTGGCCCTCTCATTGTTTGTCCGCCGTCATCCACCTATGACAGCTTAGGGAAATAAGTCCAACAAAATTAAAAGCCCAACAAAACATTTAAGGCTAATTCCAAACATGCAGTTGTCTCCGGGAATACAAGAGTCGAATTAAATCCAGACGGTGCGTTTGTCATCTCTCCCTTTCTCTCTCTAACAAAAAGAAATGTGGGGAGGTGCAAATAGTCTGGAGTGTCAGAGACAGGCCAACAGCGGCACTTTGAGCTCAGTTAGTAAAAGTGCAACTAAAAATGTAAAAAAAAAAAAAACGTATGGTTGCTAAAAATAAATAAAAATACAGATATATTAGTGATGATAGAGCAGAAAAATGGCTGCATCTATGACAAGAATCTAAATCAGGGGTCTCCAACCTTTTTTTCAAGTGTGCTAATTTTACATTATGAAAGTACAGGAGAGCTACTGCCATACGGTTTATTTACCTATAGGCTACATCCATGTGTGAATACGCTTAATATGTTAAAAAAAGTCCATGTTACTCCTTGTATTTCAATACGTCAATATTATAAAAAGTACAAGACAAATAGTGACATTCTGAAAATCAAACAAAACCAAAACATTGAATCAGATACTTTCAGATAATGAAATACAAAAGTAATTTACGTGTGATTTGACATTGTTTTAGAATGAATCAGTAACATGACTTTTTCGGCATACAAGAGCAGATAATCTGTTCCTGACCCTGAGCCCTAACCGGAGCCTAAGCAGAAACGTCAGGTTGTCGCAGTGTTAAGATATTTTGTCATAAATGAACACAAACTTCCCAAAGTTACAGAATGCCTTTTAAAATGGCATTTAATACAAAACGTTTCAATTAATTATGAAGTGTTACGATTATTCTTCCAAACATCCGACACAACATTTTTCATAAAATGAATGAAGCTGAAAATATTTTAAATAAAATACAAGCTAAATGTGATGAAAACGCAAATGCTAAAAAGTTTGAACTGAAGTAAAATCGTTTAAAAACAGAAATAACATTTCTTCCTGCTTTCCTGATTTACTGAATCATCAATTTAAGCTCTTTTTAGGTCACGAAAATTAAAGTTTTGCTTCGATAACTGCAGATTAAAAATGCTTTGTTGCGTTTTTTGTTGACAATATTACGTTTGGAGGTTTATCCTTCTTATTTGCCCCTGGAACAGCTGATCCGCGGGTCTGACTGCAGCACAGCACAACATGGAACGAGAGAGAGAGAGAGAGAGAGAGAGAGAGAGAGAGAGAGAGAGAGACGAGAGAGAGAGAGAGAGATGAGGAGAGAGAGAGAGAGAGAGAGGAGAAAGAGAGAATGAGAGAGAGAGAGAGAGAGAGAGAGAGAGAGAGAATGAGAGAGAGAGAGAGAGAGAGAGAGAGAGGAGGAGAGAGAGACGTGAGAGAGAGAGAGAGAGAGAGAGAGAGAGACGAGCAGAGAGATATCTGAAAACAGGTTTTATTTCTAAAAGAGACAATCAGCTGAAACCCGTTGAGGGAAATTAGTTGAAACTACCATAAATCCTCGAATACAGGCCTGTATTCAATTAACGGCCGGGTCTCATATTTTGGCAGGTATCGGAGTCGGTGGAGGTTGAATGATGGCCGGTCTCTTATTGTGGCCGGGTGGAATGTGGTAACAAGCAAGTACGGGGGGCGGTTGTGTCATCGTCTCACTTTTGATTTGCCAGTGATAGATCGCGAGGGTAACTTTAACCGTGCGGAGACGAAGAGGAGGCCGAAAATTTGATATCAAGTTCAAAGAGAATGTGCACTGCAGAACACTGGGGGAGCAACAGGGGTTGTATGAACTAGTCAACTTCACTATAGGGACTTTTTTATGCCTGTCATCGACTAGTCGCTGTCACGTGATAAAAACTGGCAAGATGCAGCCCTCGGAAAAGACAGCAGCCTGCTGTCAGCAGGTGACAAGCTCCTCGCGCTCGGGGGGGGGGGGGGGGGGGGGGGGGCAACGCGCTTGTGCCAGAGCGTCGTACTGACACGCGATCGTTCATGTCGGTTCATTTCCTTTAATGTTTTCTGTCTTTTATTTTGTGCCTGATGTGTTTCGCTGCTGTGGAGTGGGTGATGGCCATCACCTTGTCCTCCGGTGACGCACCAATCACTGATGCGGCGGCCGGCAAGCAGCGAGCACTCCGCTGTTTTTGCGGTCGGTAGATCTGCGTCCTGAGCACGGCCACAGTAACAATATCAAATCAAGTGTCGCCACCTCAAAAACTAATTAATTTAACACGCGATCTTTCATGTCGGTTCATTTCCTTTATAGTTTTTCTCAGTCGCTTTGGTGCGTTTCCTCAGAACACTATTAACATTTGCACAGCAGTTAGTGCAAATTCTCAAAACAATTAGTGCAAACTGCAAAACCTAGTGGATAGCCTGCAAAAGCACGTCACATGCTCAAAAATTGATAATCCATTCCTCAAAAGCAAGTATTCATGTCAATGAAACTGTTAGTGCCATCAAAATGAAAAGTCGTTGACACCATCTCTATGAACAAGATAGTCCAAATGGCTTTGTCATGTTTTCACTATGACAGTTTATAATTTCAGTGTTTTCCATTGCAAGAATATTTGGTGACACCAGAAAATGCTCAAGACAGCACTATGCCCTACTTGTACAGCCATTTGAAATGTGCAGTAAAGTTACTGTAGATGTTATGGGAGTTTTGGGAGTAACTGAGACACTGAATACGTACGTTTTACATTTTTACTGTATAGAAGTGTTTGTAATTCTACAGCATTGTGCAAAAGAAAAATATGCTACAGTCACTTGTTTACTGTAGAATACATGTAAACAAAAATTCACCCTTTTGGTAGAGCTGTGCACAAATGTGAACAATATACAGTACATGTAACAGTACATACAGTATTGCACAGTACTGTAACATACGTGATTGACAACATGGTCCACAATTGTAGCCCTGATTTGTTTAGGAATGTGCCTATATCTCCCTCTTCCCCTTCCTCCCCCTCTTCCACGATGCTGACCTTCCATTTTATGTCACAGAAGTGTAGAAATGGTACAAACTAGCTCCTGCTCAGTTCATATATGCTTGCCAATTGAGGATTCACCTCCTCATGAGTGACAGCTGAAATTCACCTGTGATCAATTGTTCAATTTAGGAGACATTTCCAGAATAAAATGAAAAAGAATGGTATAGAATTTGCTTGACAGATGACTGATATTTGACATTTGATAACTAGTTCAACAATTTTGTGTGTAATGACTCAAGCAATGAAAGTAAGACTATTAGTGTTATTGAGAGTGACTATTCAGCATCCATAAGTATAATTCATTTTGACTGACATGACATAAGCAAATGGAAATGTCAAAAAACAGCAGAGAAATGTATGAAAGCAACTGATACATGTCCAAAATCATTTGCAGTTTGTTCAGAGAAAGGAGAAATTGCTACTACGATGTGCACAAATGACTAAATGTTGTGGAGGTTGAACTAATAGTTATGAGAATTTTAATTCTGATCTGAGAAACGCACCAAAGCGACTGAGAAAAAACTGTAATGTTTTCTGTCTTTTATTTGCGCCTGATGCGTTTCGCTGTGGAGCGGGGCGCATCACCTTGTCATCCGGTGACGCACCAATCACTGATGTGGCCGGCAAGCAGCGAGCACTCCGCTGTTTTTGCGGTCGGTAGATCTTTTAGAACTGCAGCTCAAAGGTTACTCATAAGGTGAATATATATGAACCCAGGTAGCAGTTTCTCTTTAGGATTGAGAGGAGATGCAGGAAGATAATAAACAGGCAGGACAGAAAAACAGTCAAATAAAACAAGTTAGTTTTTGTACCTGCTGGTTGCAACAAACAGACACCATTGAAGGTAATCAGAAGTGAGGAACAGAAAATGAAATAATTATTTTAATGTTTAGAGCAGCAGGAACTCCGAGAGGCTGCAGGCGCATCAGTCAGTTTGCGGCCGCTGCGCAGGGGGAGGGGGGAGAGGGCTGAAGCGGAAACTACCGTTGTTAAAAGCGATGTGTTTAACTTTGAAAATGTGGGCGCAATTTTAATTGTCAAAAACTCCAGCGAACCATTAGTTGATTTTGCTCAAATAGAAATAGAGGCCTGCCTCTAATTCTGGTCCTCCTTCCAATAAAGGCCTGGAGCTTGATGAGCTTGAGTCAAATACAGGCCCGGGCCTGTATTAGAGGATTTACGGTAAATCACAGGTGATGTTCAGAGTTTGCTCACCTGTGTTCATCATGTGTTCACAAACGAATGGATTTTAATTTGTGTTAACGAGTTATCACCACAGTCAGACTTTTACTTTCACCCAGAATATTTCACTGAGGATTTTTTTAAATCAGTCTGTATAACCGACGTGACCCCGTTTCTTTAGAAGCGCATCTTTATCCACTTGTAGCTTAGAGGTGGGAAAAATGATCGATTCTAAGATGCATCACGATTCAGTCGTGCATGATTCTGCATCGATGCAGCAATGTGACATAATGAGATTCTCTCCCTATTCGGGGGTCGGCAACCTGCGGCTCTGGAGCCGCATGCGGCTCTTCCATTCATCTGATGCGGCTCTCTATGCTTGTAAAATAATGAATGGATATTTAAATAAAATGCTTTATATTTTACTGCATTAATTTTGCATCTGTATGCCAATTCTAAATGTAAAGATTGTCTGCGTAAACCTGAACAGTTCCAACCCGGTCTTACTGTGAGACCGGGTTGGCGGGTCACGCTTGTGCATAATCATAGGCACTTTCTGAGCTGACGAGGACGTGAGATTCTGGGATTCTCCTCAGACAGGCTCCTGGATGTGTCGCCACATTGGAGACAGGAACAAGCGCTATTCAGCCAAAGTTTCATAATCAGGGAACATTTTCTAAGTGACAAGTCTCGCTTCAGTCGGAGGAATCTTCCTGCATGCGCTTTGGTTCTGCGACGTGCTCCAAGCCCCTCTCCACATCTTCAGCTCGCTGTGGACCTTATGTAGTACACGCTGACAGCGAGCTGCCCTGAGCTCAGTGTCCAGCTCAGATGTTCAGATGGGAATCATTTCTTGAGTGACTTAGCTACATCTGCGATGTGCGAAAAGAATAAAGTTTCAGTTCATCTGCATGCGTCGGGGTAATTCTTTCTATTCTTTCTCAGTCAAAAATAAAAAGTCAAATACGGGAACTATCCGGTCAACACAACACAAGCCCTGCTTTTAACTGTTCTGTTTTCTTGTGAAAATTGTTGCAAAGAGATGTAATTAAACTTGATTAACACCAGAGCCATGCGCACTGCACCGTTATCTCCGTCACTGTAAATGAGGGAAAAACAAATTGATCGGATCCTTTTCTGACATTCCCACCTACAAAGTTTATTTACAACAATCAAACGTGACAGAGCCTGGATTTGTATTCTGAACAGTCTAAACATGTTTTTAAAAGAAACATATGACAAAAGTGGCACCTGCTCAGTAAAACCACCAACAGGGTGAAAAATATCAAAATACTGTAGGCAGAGACGGGCTACAACTTCTGGATCCATTTTATATAAATCATTTTATTGATTATCTCCTTATGAAAGATAGCTTTGATGTACACGAGCGACCGGTTGCTGTCACCTGTTGTTATTGGTTAAAGCAGCTCTCTGCTGTCTGAGGGTAGGCCCCGCCCACAACGCCACGGCTGCTGTGGCTCCCAGTGTTTTCTTTACTGTGGGAAATGGGTAATAATGGCTCTTTGATGGGAACAGGTTGCCGACCCCTGGTCTATGTCTATGCAGGACAATAAAGTTTGGAGGTTTTACAATTACTTCTGGGGGTAGAGTTGCAATGACATGTGCACTGCGTTGCCCTAGCGCCAATTTAAAACAGAAAAGGCGGACAGGGATACAGGGCAAACATTACCAGTAATCAAAGATGTACCCGTTACATTTAAATCGGATGTCTGGGCTAATTTCGGTTTTGGGATCCTGGATGTGAAAGAATCACTTAACACAGTATTTGTTTACTATTTTTAAGTTCAGTAATATTCTATCTTAAAGCTGCTCTACCGAAAACATTATTTCTTATATTATTTAAGTAATTATAGGCTTTAAACATTATTGCTCAATATAGTGAATAGATGAATGTTCTGTTTTTCAGGGATTTCAAAATCAAAACTATTCTACTGCTTTTATTAAGTAATGAAAATTTTTGTGTGAAGAATCGTGATGCATGTCAGACTCAAAGCGAATCGTTAGGCAGATAATCGGAATCGGATCGAATCGTGAGGCAGGTAGAGATGCACACCACTAATGTAGCTGCAGCTACTTAGATCAGAAATGGGAATCTCCTTGCTGCAACCTGATCACTTAATCCGTGTTTTTCCAGTAGAACACGTTTGCCTAAATATTTGTGCAATAATGGTCAGTTCTAAAGGCTCGCCTAAAGACGAGGGGAGATAGGGCTTTTTCTGTGGCCAGTCCTACACTCTGGAACAGTCTTCCTCTGCAGATCAGGACCTGACAAAATCTGGATGTCTTTAAGTCCTTGCTTAAAACTCATTTATTCAACCTTGCTTTTATGTAGGATGATTTTATTTTGTCATTGTCACTCTTTCTCATTTTTAATGATTGTATAATTGTGTGATGTAATGCTGTTTTTATCCAAACTTGCTAATTTTTATGGTTTTATCGTTTTTAGTTATACTTCTTGCAATTTTATCTTCTGTGTTGTACAGCAATTTGGGTTGCAGAAGCAATAATAACTTGAGAAATAAATGTGACCTTGACCTTGACCTTAATAAGATTTTTAATTTGCTTTTGCAAACTTAATTTTGAATAGATATTACAGAAAACAGGGATGGCTTGCCGACAAATTTAAAAACGTTATTAAAAAGTCAGGCAGGATGTCCCACTGCTGCTTCCAGGCGAGCGACATAAAAGTGCATCCCGAGCTACCGGTAGTAACAGGCAGATAAATAATCTTAAAAGAAAGAACCACTGAGAGTGCAATGGTGTCGCTCTCCGAGGTGCTGAAATACGCGCACAGCCAACAAGTTTAAAACAAATGATGGACTACGTAGTAGTTTGACAGAGTGTAATATCTGACCTCTAAAGGAGAGTCAGGCTCATCCAGGATGCTCTTCTCATCATGTATCCTCTGCATGGTTCCTGTAGAACTGGGGTCCATTACCAACACGTTCTGACTAGCAGCTCTGCCGAACTTACAGTCACTCTTTCTGGAGTCAGTGGTCCTGCACACCTCGTAGTTGTACACATGTTGGAGAGTTCCTGTCCCCAGCGTGTCTGAGTAACGTGGTGGATAATATGGAATGACAGGGAGGCTGGAGTGATACAGGATGCGAGACTGTCTCCATCTGTAGATTTTCACTGAGATGATAACCACCAAACAGGTGATGAAGAGGAAGGAAACTACAGCCAGAGCCAAGACTAAGTAAAAAGTCAGGTTGTCATTGTACTCCTTGTCGTGTGTAGAGTCAGTGAACTCCGACAGCACTTCAGGGAAGCTGTCCGCCACCGCCACGTTAACAATGACTGTAGCTGAACGAGAGGGCTGGCCGTTGTCCTCCACTATAACAGTCAGTCTTTGTTTCACAGCATCTTTATCAGTCACTTGACGGATAGTTCTGATTTCTCCATTCTGTAAGCCCACTTCAAACAGCGCCCTGTCTGTGCCTTTCTGCAGTTTATAGGAGAGCCAGGCGTTCTGTCCAGAGTCCACATCAACAGCCACCACTTTAGTCACCAGATAGCCCACTTCTGCTGAACGAGGCACCATCTCAGCCACCACGGAGCCTCCAGTCTGGACCGGGTACAGGACCTGAGGGGGGTTATCGTTCTGGTCCTGGATCAGTATTTTCACACTCACGTTGCTGCTGAGAGGAGGAGAGCCTCCATCCTGCGCTTTAACGTGACACCGGAAGTCTTTGATCTGCTCGTAGTCAAAAGAGCGCACTGCGTGGATGACTCCGCTATCAGCACTAACGGACACATATGAGGAGACCGGAACTCCGTTAACGGTGGAGTCCTCCAGTATGTAAGAAACACGGGCATTCTGGTTCCAGTCAGCGTCTGTGGCTTTCACTGTGAATATAGAGAGACCTGGTGTGTTGTTTTCTACAATGTAGGCCTCATATGAGCTCCTCTCAAAGACAGGCGCGTTGTCGTTCACATCAGAGATCTGTAAGGTGAGAGTGACGCTGCTGGAGAGGGAGGGCACTCCTTCATCAGAGCAGCTCACCGTGATGTTGTACTCAGAGGCTCTCTCCCTGTCTAACTCGCTGTCTGTCATTAAACTATAAAACTTGTCTGACGTTGACCTCAAAACAAAGTAATTGCTTTCATTAATTACGCAATGCACTTTGCCATTTTCAGACGAGTCTGCATCTTCAACATTTATCATTGTTACAACCGTGTTAGGTTTAGCATCTTCTGATATCACGTTTGATTTAGACATAATATGAATATCAGGGCGGTTATCATTCACGTCTTCCACATTGATTATGAGTTTACAAGATCCGATACGTCCACCATCATCACTAGCACGAATAATAACCTGGTAACTTTTGGTCTTTTCATAATCAACTTTTCCATTTAATTCTACGTCGCCACTTCCTTTATTTATTTTAAACACTCCATGTGTCTGATCTGTCATGGCTGAAAGAGAATAAGTTATTCTGCTATTAGATCCCTCATCTGCATCCGTTGCAGTGACTGTTACTATCGCAGTTCCTATTGGCTCGTTTTCTTTTATGAAGGCTTTGTAAACAGGTTGTGAAAAAACGGGAGTGTTGTCATTAGCATCCAAAACGTTTATTAGGATCTGCATTGTTCCGGTCATCTGCGGCTCTCCGCCGTCTAGCGCCGTCAGAACCAAAGTGAGGTGGTCATATTTTTCTCTGTCTAATGGCGCATTTAAAACCATCTCCACATTTCTTTCACCCTCTCCTTGATTATTACTTTTCAGAGAAAATATATCAGTTGGTTTTAGAACATATGCTTTCAAGTCATTCTCTCCCACATCGAGATCAGTTGCTCTGTCTAAAATGAACGTTGTGCCAATTTGCGTGAATTCGCTGATGTTAAATTGCATCTCTCTCGTTCTAAAAATTGGCGGGTTGTCGTTTATATCAGTGATTTCGACTGTAACGCTGTAAAACTCCATAGGATCTTCTAATAGTATCTGAAAATGTAGCGCGCAAGGCATCATTTGTTCACAGAGCGCCTCCCTGTCTATCCTTTCTTTCAGCAGCAGAGAGCCTCTCTCTCTGTTCAGCTCCACGTAAGCTGTGCTGTCTCGAGTAAAGACTCGAGCCTTTCCGGATTTTAGTCTTCTGGCATCTAAACCTAAATCCTGAGCAATGTTACCAACAAAAGATCCTTTTGCCATTTCCTCTGGAACAGAATACGTAACGTGTCCAGCAACTGAGCAGAGGAAGAAGACGCACACGAACAATAGTACTTGCCGTCTCATTGTGCCCGACACCATCTTTGAATCAGCGGAACGCTGCTATGTCCTCCGTTATGTATTTTATACAAATCCCGCGATCAGACAGAATGACCGAAATCCTTTAAAATAGAAAAAAAATTCTTCTGGTTTTCCAGTCAGCCATCCGTGCTCCTGTCGTGTTTTTCAACTCACAGTTATGCGTTGAGCTGATAAATGAAGAAGATGGGGTGGAACCACCACACCATCAAATATGAAACTAACACTCACTAGTCAACAGCGTCTCTCAGAGTTTAAAGCCAAAATTACAACAGCATTGCTCATAAAACAAAAACTGCAGCTCAACATAGATAACATGTGTGAACACAGATATGTTAGAACATAATAAAAACACAGATAAACGCGATTTAAGGTCAAGTTAAGAAGAGGTAACATATGTGAAAATATTTTTGAGAAAATGCGAATATTTAGCAAGAAATAATAGATTAATTATTTTTTTTTTTTTTACAAATCGAAGCACATTGTTTTCTCACATTATTTTAAGTTTAAAATATTTTAAATGCAAACTTTTATTCTGAAAACGTGATTACCCCCCAGAAAAATACACTTTAACAAAAAATAAATAATGGGGCCCCTTCATAAAATATAAAATGTTAGTGAAAGGTTGGAAGCTGTCGCTATCCATGGTTCTGAAAAGGACAAATGATGCCTAAAAGATAAGGCACCATAAGAAATAAATAGGAATTTACAATGCCCGAGAACTAACAATAAAGACTAACCTCCAAAGGCGAGTCAGGCTCATCAAGGATGCTCTTCTCACCCTGTATCCTCTGCATGGTTCCTGAAGAACTGGGGTCCATTACCAACACGTTCTGACTAGCAGCTCTGCCGAACTTACAGTCACTCTTTCTGGAGTCAGTGGTCCTGCACACCTCGTAGTTGTACACATGTTGGAGAGTTCCTGTCCCCAGCGTGTCTGAGTAACGTGGTGGATAATATGGAATGACAGGGAGGCTGGAGTGATACAGGATGCGAGACTGTCTCCATCTGTAGATTTTCACTGAGATGATAACCACTAAACAGGTGATGAAGAGGAAGGAAACTACAGCCAGAGCCAAGACTAAGTAAAACGTCAGGTTGTCGTTGTACTCCTTGTCGTGTGTAGAGTCAGTGAACTCCGACAGCACTTCAGGGAAGCTGTCCGCCACCGCCACGTTAACAATGACTGTAGCTGAACGAGAGGGCTGGCCGTTGTCCTCCACTATAACAGTCAGTCTTTGTTTCACAGCATCTTTATCAGTCACTTGACGGATAGTTCTGATTTCTCCATTCTGTAAGCCCACTTCAAACAGCGCCCTGTCTGTGGCTTTCTGCAGTTTATAGGAGAGCCAGGCGTTCTGTCCAGAGTCCACATCAACAGCCACCACTTTAGTCACCAGATAGCCCACTTCTGCTGAACGAGGCACCATCTCAGCCACCACGGAGCCTCCAGTCTGGACCGGGTACAGGACCTGAGGGGGGTTATCATTCTGGTCCTGGATCAGTATTTTCACAGTCACGTTGCTGCTGAGAAGAGGAGAGCCTCCATCCTGCGCTTTAACGTGAAACCGGAAGTCTTTGATCTGCTCGTAGTCAAAAGAGCGCACTGCGTGGATGACCCCGCTATCAGCACTAACGGACACATGTGAGGAGACCGGAACTCCGTTAATGGAGGAGTCCTCCAGTATGTAAGAAACACGGGCATTCTGGTTCCAGTCAGCGTCTGTGGCTTTCACTGTGAATATAGAGAGACCTGGTGTGTTGTTTTCTACAATGTAGGCCTCATATGAGCTCCTCTCAAAGACAGGCGCGTTGTCGTTCACATCAGAGATCTGTAAGGTGAGAGTGACGCTGCTGGAGAGGGAGGGCACTCCTTCATCAGAGCAGCTCACCGTGATGTTGTACTCAGAGGCTCTCTCCCTGTCTAACTCGCTGTCTGTCACTAAACTGTAGAAATTATTTGACGTTGATTTGAGCAAGAAGGGGATGTTATCATTTATGTAACATCGAACTTTTCCATTCTCACCCGAATCTGGATCTTGAACATTTATCATCGTAACCACGGTATAAATGTTTGCATCCTCTGATATAACAGCGGATTTTGACATTATTTTAATTATTGGTTCGTTATCATTTTTATCAACAACATCAACAATAACCTTACACGAGTCTGTTAATCCTCCGTTATCTCTCGCACGCACATTAATCTGAAAATGTTTTTTCTTTTCATAATCCAAACCACCCGTCAGTCTCACCTCGCCGCTCTCCTCGTTTACTTCAAAAATCTGCCTCACGTCATCTAAAGTATTAGTAATAGAATATGTTATTTTCCCGTTTAAACCACGATCAGCATCACTCGCACTCACTGACGTCACGATGGTGCCTTTTGGTGAATTCTCAGTAACGGTGCCTTTGTACACCGGCATCGTGAAAACAGGCGCGTTGTCATTTACATCTAACACCGTAATAAGAATCTGCATTGTTCCAGACATCCGGGGCTCTCCTCCATCTGCTGCCGTCAGAACCAGTGACATCAGCTCTTTTTTCTCTCTATCCAAAGGCTTCTGCAAGACCATTTCCACATTCTTTGTTCCATCAGCTTGATTGTGCAGCTTGAGCAGAAAATGATCACTCGGCTTCAGCACATACGACTGGAGACTGTTCGTTCCTACATCCAAATCTGCTGCTCTTTCCAAATCAAATTTTGCTCCAACATTTGCAGACTCGCTTATTATAAATTTAATTTCGCTTTTTTCAAAACTCGGTGAATGGTCGTTAATGTCTGTTATTTCTACTGTTACGCTGTAAAATTCCATCGGATTTTCAAGCACTATCTGGAAATGCAGAGCGCACGGAGTCGTTTCCCCGCAGAGCGCCTCTCTGTCTATCCTTTCTTTCACAAGGAGGAGTCCTCTCTCGGTGTTCAGCTCAATGAAGTCCCTGTTATCACCGGAGTAAACACGACCTTTTCCAGTCTTCAAACGTTTAACACTCAAGCCTAAATCCTGAGCTATGTTACCGACAAACGAGCCGATCGACATTTCTTCAGGAACCGAATAGGAAACCTGTCCACAAACTGGACTTACAGACAAGAAAGAAATCAACAGCAGTACTTGCCGTCCCATTGTTTGAGAAATCATCGGAGGGAGAAAACAGAGTCCTTAAATAATCCACTTGTGCCTTTAGAAAATCCTGAGATTAGACTACACCAGTAAAGAATCCTTATTGAAGGGAAATAATATGCGTAAAGAAAGTCAGCGTCATGAATGGAGACAAAGCTCTCGATGCCTTTCCTCTCTCTGATGCAATAACATAAAGAGGCGCTGCTGCTCCTGATATAGTACAAATACAACCTAGAGGGCAATAGCGTCCCACTGAGTTCAAATAGATACATTGCACTCATTACTTAAAAAATTAGGAAAAAAGAGAGAAAAAAACTAATAGATAAATGGACTTTATAATATTGTATTGATCGTTTAAATAAAACAAATGAGCAAATTAAAGATTGATTAATGCACCAAAAGATCAACGAATCTCTTTTTAAGTTTTTCGCTTTCCATGGTGCTGAAAAAAGAGTAGGTGCTGGGCTCAAAAAATATAAACAAAGAATTTGCAAAAAAAAAGGGTAATTATTTCAAGGAGGAAAATAATATCGTATTTTACCATTTAAGCATTTTTATATATTGTTTTGTGAGCATTTTAGCATTCTAACCTCCAAAGGAGAGTCCGGCTCATCCAGGATGCTCTTCTCACCCTGTATCCTCTGCATGGTTCCTGTAGAACTGGGGTCCATTACCAACACGTTCTGACTAGCAGCTCTGCCGAACTTACAGTCACTCTTTCTGGAGTCAGTGGTCCTGCACACCTCGTAGTTGTACACATGTTGGAGAGTTCCTGTCCCCAGCGTGTCTGAGTAACGTGGTGGATAATATGGAATGACAGGGAGGCTGGAGTGATACAGGATGCGAGACTGTCTCCATCTGTAGATTTTCACTGAGATGATAACCACCAAACAGGTGATGAAGAGGAAGGAAACTACAGCCAGAGCCACGACTAAGTAAAAAGTCAGGTTGTCGTTGTACTCCTTGTCGTGTGTAGAGTCAGTGAACTCCGACAGCACTTCAGGGAAGCTGTCCGCCACCGCCACGTTAACAATGACTGTAGCTGAACGAGAGGGCTGGCCGTTGTCCTCCACTATAACAGTCAGTCTTTGTTTCACAGCATCTTTATCAGTCACTTGACGGATAGTTCTGATTTCTCCATTCTGTAAGCCCACTTCAAACAGCGCCCTGTCTGTGGCTTTCTGCAGTTTATAGGAGAGCCAGGCGTTCTGTCCAGAGTCCACATCAACAGCCACCACTTTAGTCACCAGATAGCCCACTTCTGCTGAACGAGGCACCATCTCAGCCACCACGGAGCCTCCAGTCTGGACCGGGTACAGGACCTGAGGGGGGTTATCGTTCTGGTCCTGGATCAGGATTTTCACAGTCACGTTGCTGCTGAGAGGAGGAGAGCCTCCATCCTGCGCTTTAACGTGAAACCGGAAGTCTTTGATCTGCTCGTAGTCAAAAGAGCGCACTGCGTGGATGACTCCGCTATCAGCACTAACAGACACATATGAGGAGACCGGAACTCCGTTAACGGAGGAGTCCTCCAGTATGTAAGAAACACGGGCATTCTGGTTCCAGTCAGCGTCTGTGGCTTTCACTGTGAATATAGAGAGACCTGGTGTGTTGTTTTCTACAATGTAGGCCTCATATGAGCTCCTCTCAAAGACAGGCGCGTTGTCGTTCACATCAGAGATCTGTAAGGTGAGAGTGACGCTGCTGGAGAGGGAGGGCACTCCTTCATCAGAGCAGCTCACCGTGATGTTATACTCAGAGGCTCTCTCCCTGTCTAACTCGCTGTCTGTCACTAAACTGTAAAGATTAGCAGACGTAGAGATGATTGTAAATGGTGAATTTTTATTTATCGCACATCTAACTTGACCATTTTCCTCAGAATCTGGATCATTAACGCTCATTACAGCTACAACTGTATTTGATTTGGAATCTTCTCCTAATGAAATTGATGTTGAAATAATATTTATAACAGGACTGTTGTCATTAAGGTCAACGATGTCAACAATTACTTTACTAGAGTCAGAAAGACCCCCGAGGTCCACAGCTTCTACATCAATCTCATATTTTTTGGATTTTTCATAATCCACGGGGCCATTTAGAATAATATCTCCCTTTTCAGTAATGCGAAATAAATCGGATGTCACACTGTTTCCGATCACATAGCTTACTTCTCCATTGGAGCCTGTGTCTGCGTCAGAGGCGCTCACTGTGGTAATGAGTGTCCCTTTTACCGAGTTCTCTTTAACAGATGCTTTATAAACGTGCTGCGTAAAAACAGGTGCGTTGTCGTTCACATCTAACACCGTTATATGAATCTGCATTGTTCCCGACCTCTGCGGGTCTCCTCCATCTACAGCTGTTAGTAACAGCGACACGGACTCCTGCTTTTCTCGGTCTAGAGGGTTTTTTAAAATCATCTCGGCCTTCTTTCCACCATCAGACTGACTGTGTAGTTTAAGGATAAAATTATCATTAGGCTTCAGGGTGTAGCTCTGAAGCCCGTTCACACCTATATCTGGATCTATGGCTTTTTCCAACATGAATTTAGAGCCCACGACGGCAGACTCACTAATTTCAAGCCTTCTGTCATCAATTTTAAACATCGGAGGATTGTCATTAATATCGGTTATTTCTATGGTAACAGAAAATATTTCTATCGGGTTTTCTAAAGCAATCTGAAAATGTAAAGCACAAGGCGTTGTCTGGCCACAGAGAGCTTCTCGGTCTATTTTTCCCTTTACGGTGATGAGTCCTTTCTCCTGGTTCAGCTGAATGTACTCCGCATTGCCCCCAGTGTGGATCCGAGCTCTACCCGACTTTAATCGTTTTAAATCCAGACCTAAATCCTGAGCTATGTTACCGATCAACGAGCCTTTTGCCATTTCCTCCGGAATGGAGTAGCTGATATGGGCCAGCGCTGAATGGAAAGCCAAGACCACGAAGAACAACAGGAGTACTTGCCGTTTCATTGTTATGTCGGGAGCATCCGCAGCACAATTCTGCTCTCTCCTTTTGTTTCACTCAGCACAGCAAAACCAAATAAAACACGATGAAAGGTTTCCTTTTGTCAGCCATGAACAAAATCACAGAGCATCCAACCGGATGTGTTTCTGAATGCAATTTAATCCACGGACATCTGTGTGTTATCCCGGCGAGTGCCACAGCTTTATGAGAAAAAAAAGGAGCGTTCCTCCCGAATATGTGGAGCTAGAAGAGCACGACAGTGGTCTACAGCGTCTCACTGAGTTCAGCTTATGAAACTGCAGTAATAATAATAATAATAATAATCTGAAAATTCAAACAGGAAAATGAAGAAAAAAAAAACCTTTTCCTTGTAAAAATAAATCTTAAATAACAAAACCGCATTACATAAAATCAAAACAAAGTGTAAATAAATAGAAATTATCGGTTAAAATTAACTATTGTGATAATAAAATTATATAAAGTAAATATTTGGAATGATAAAAATTCAAATGTGCTTTGAATCCGTGTATCAGACGTTCTTTCTATTTTCGATTGATTAAAAGGGGTGGAAAACGGATATTTTTTTATTTGTTTAATAAACGGGTTAAAAAAAACGTTTTTCGTATTTTCTGTTTTAGTCTCAGATAAAAAAATATAGAATGAAAAAAAAAACTGTCTCAGAGCCTAATTAGATTTTAAATATTTTATATGTCAGGTTTGCGTCAACAGGTGTCGCACCGATGAGTCAGGAGGTCAGGAGCGTGTACTGGGTAGGAAGACGCAGATTCACTCCACTGCGCCTCAAGCTCACTAGACGCAGAATTGTGTTTATATTTTGTGAAGTCACTGAAAGATGGGTGTCGTTACTTTATTGTTCAGACTCTGGGTGACAACACAAAGCGCTTCGTTTTATCCAGGCGCTACCCGGTCTCCTCCGCTCTGAACACATGTCATCCTCAGCTGCGTACCTGTCTGTCTGCCAACACCCACATTTAACCAGGGTGAGCAATAACATCAGAGGGAGATTGTGTTTTTACACTTTTATGTCACTTGTTCCCCTCATGACTCTACGTGGTGGTTAGCAGGTATTTAGCTTTAGCTAACGTTAGCTAACTTTTTGTGCACGTGTACAAGTCATGTGACTTAATCTTCCACTTGCAAAATGCTGAGTCAGTTTATATTCAGCTACTTTGCCAGGACTGTTTACAATGAAGAAGGCAGAGGTACATATTTGGTTTGTGTCAGAGCAGATGAAGGGAAAGACAGCAGACAGCGTCCTTCTTGAGTAAAGGAGGAGCAGTTTATTAAAATATGTTTTAAAATACTCTAACACCCTTAGGTCTGACACATTTGTTATTGTTTCTGAAGAGAGCCAGCAGAGAATGAGAGGAGTTCCCACTGACGCCAGTAACGATGTTAATGTGTCTGATATTCATAATTATTTCTGCTGCATCATTCATGTGCCACTATCAGAAGTGTAGAGTTGGATAAATCATGAGAATGAAGCATTAAGGTGGTTGTATAATGAGGGAAATAGTAACTTTACTATTAATCTCTGCTATATTAGAATATTTCATGTTTATTTTTCATCTCCTCTTTTAAACAGACAGCTATAAATACAGAGTTGATGGACCAGATCAGCCACACCAGAAGCTGTTTCCTGACTACTTCAGGGCAGCAGGAGAGAAGAAACCTTCAAGCTTCCTGGACCATCAGACACCCTTCTCTGGAAAACCATCACAGCCATGAATGCCTATTGTGATGCATGTGGCTTCCCAAACAAGTCCAAGATTTACTTCATTCCAAGAAGTGATGTTTAGAGATTTGCTGTGCTCTCATTTTAGTGGTTTCTTTGCTCCAACTTATGTGACTCAGTGGTTGAATCAATTGTGCAGCAGCTCATCAGAAGCCTGTTAATCACCTGCTGATTGAAATCAAGTGTGCTGAAGCAGGGTTAAAACTAAAACATGGATACTGGCTCTCCAGGACCAGGATTAACCACTGCTCTATAATCTTTGCTGATTAAGAAGTAAATTCAGAGGTTTTTGATACAGAGATTGTATGATTTTAATGTTTTAGACTAGTTAACAAAAATAACTACTCATGTTATTAGTGCGTGTGTAGCGCCAGTGCCCTATACACTGGCACTACCTGGTAGCTGTTGCAGGTGGTCTTTACGTGTGCTTAAAGAAATGCAGCATGAGTTTATTTCCGATGTTGTTTATTATGATGTCTTGTTCCAAAATGTCCAGGATCCATTTACAGCAGTAAAATTGGTTTGCAGTGAATGCGTTACTTGCCCCAATGACAGTCCGCAGAGTGCTTTGCATCCAGTCACAGTCCTCGCCACACAGTAAAAAACTGTTTGTCCCATCCAGCCTCACCTGAGTCCAATCTGTGTTGGCTTAAGTAGGCTGGTGCTTCCACAAGCAATTAACCAATAATATTAGGCCAAGCCTCCTCTCAAGTGCACAAAAAGAAATGACACATATGGCTCCTACAGTGTGTGTAACATTAATTATATTGCTGTTGAATAAATCTTGGAGATTCATAAGCTTTAAGTTAATTAATCATATATGATAAGATTTTTTTTGTCACCACTTTATTCTAAAAACATTGAGGCATGTGGTTTTGGTGCCAAGTGACACGTTAATGCTACTTCACACATGATCTCAGATCCATCCTGAGTCTACGCTCCAGATCCTTCCTCACAGCAGCACAATTATAACCACCCCCCTCCCAACAAAACCTTTAGGTGTTTACATCCCAGTTAATATTTGCAGTTTCTATTTACTTTACAGTTTTTGTCTGTTTTATACTTTACTTTTGTGTGAACGTGTGCTCGTTTATACAAATAAAAGCATGTTTAAAATTTCTTTCTACATCTTTGTTAAATGAAAATCAATTGAAATCCAGATGTTTCAGAGTCAGGAATAATTCTGGGATCCACGTTATTCAGGTATTATTTATATTGATCTGTTTTACATAATCTATGCATGTTGTCTATCTAGCTACTTAAATGTGTTTTACAAGAATAATGTAATCAGCTGTTTTCAGGTGTGTTAAATAGTTTCAGGCAGTCAGACAGAACTAGCAGTGATGCTAACAGAGCTAACAGAACATCTGGAAACTAACACAAAGCTGTTTACAGCTGGAGAACCTGGTTTGTTGAGCTTTTATATGAATGGAGCTGATGTGATTATTCTCATATGGGAAACTTACTGGCTTGTTGTCATAAAGAGCAATCCAACACCAGAATAATAAACCTAGTACTTTCTGTTGTCACCCACAGGCTGAATGATGAAGTAACGATGACACTACACAACTAGTTGAAACATTTCCACATCTAGTTGGAATCAAGGCGCCGCCCCCTGGATCCACACATTCTGGTCAGTGCATGCTCCCAATGCAGAATAAGCTTGTGTCACCTCGTTGCCACAGCGACAGATTATGAATCTGTATGCTCTGTCATAAACTAATTCTTACTACATCCAAAAATGCCCACCTGAACTGAGGGAGTTCATGTTTTCCTAACAAGGGGATCCTCACTTCTGTGTGAACTTCATAAGCTTTACCTACATCGATACAACACCTGTCCTCATGAACCCAAGAAATGAATCAAATTCTGCTCAGAGGCCATTTTTCCATTTCTTATATTTGATCCGAGACTGAGATAGAAAATATGAAAAACAAAACATTCTTTGCTTTTTTAAAGTCAATTATAAACAAAAAACCAAAAGCAAAACATTTCCTAGAATGATTTTTTGTTTTCAATCAAAACGTGGAGGGAGGCTGACCATGCGTTTGTTTCCGACGCTTAGGGTGAGAGAATGTGTTGTGACTTGCTATTCATTTAGTCTGACTGAAAATGCAGCAAGTCAAGATATGAAGACCAACAAAGAGAGATATCAAACTGGTGGTTTTGCTGTTCACGGTGCTGAAGTAGCATGCAGCTAAATATTACAGGAAAAAATTACAAATATCAGTATAAGCTCAAATGTCTAACCTCTAAAGGAGAGTCAGGCTCATCCAGGATGCTCTTCTCACCCTGCATCCTCTGCATGGTTCCTGTAGAGCTGGGGTCCATTACCAACACGTTCTGACTAGCAGCTCTGCCGAACTTACAGTCACTCTTTCTGGAGTCAGTGGTCCTGCACACCTCGTAGTTGTACACATGTTGGAGAGTTCCTGTCCCCAGCGTGTCTGAGTAACGTGGTGGATAATATGGAATGACGGGGAGGCTGGAGTGATACAGGATGCGAGACTGTCTCCATCTGTAGATTTTCACTGAGATGATAACCACCAAACAGGTGATGAAGAGGAAGGAAACTACAGCCAGAGCCAAGACTAAGTAAAAAGTCAGGTTGTCGTTGTACTCCTTGTCGTGTGTAGAGTCAGTGAACTCCGACAGCACTTCAGGGAAGCTGTCCGCCACCGCCACGTTAACAATGACTGTAGCTGAACGAGAGGGCTGGCCGTTGTCCTCCACTATAACAGCCAGTCTTTGTTTCACAGCATCTTTATCAGTCACTTGACGGATAGTTCTGATTTCTCCATTCTGTAAGCCCACTTCAAACAGCGCCCTGTCTGTGCCTTTCTGCAGTTTATAGGAGAGCCAGGCGTTCTGTCCAGAGTCCACATCAACAGCCACCACTTTAGTCACCAGATAGCCCACTTCTGCTGAACGAGGCACCATCTCAGCCACCACGGAGCCTCCAGTCTGGACCGGGTACAGGACCTGAGGGGGGTTATCGTTCTGGTCCTGGATCAGTATTTTCACAGTCACGTTGCTGCTGAGAGGAGGAGAGCCTCCATCCTGCGCTTTAACGTGAAACCGGAAGTCTTTGATCTGCTCGTAGTCAAAAGAGCGCACTGCGTGGATGACTCCGCTATCAGCACTAACGGACACATATGAGGAGACCGGAACTCCGTTAACGGAGGAGTCCTCCAGTATGTAAGAAACACGGGCATTCTGGTTCCAGTCAGCGTCTGTGGCTTTCACTGTGAATATAAAGAGACCTGGTGTGTTGTTTTCTACAATGTAGGCCTCATATGAGCTCCTCTCAAAGACAGGCGCGTTGTCGTTCACATCAGAGATCTGTAAGGTGAGAGTGACGCTGCTGGAGAGGGAGGGCACTCCTTCATCAGAGCAGCTCACGGTGATGTTATACTCAGAGGCTCTCTCCCTGTCTAACTTGCTGTCTGTCACTAAACTATAGAAATTATTCGATGTAGCCTTAATTTCAAAAGGGATTATATCATTCAAAACACATGTTACCTTACCGTTATTATCAGAATCAGGGTCATTAACACTTATTAGGGCTATAACTGTCTTGAGGGCTGAATCCTCTGGTATTGAGCCTGATGCTGAAATCACATTAATGGATGGATTATTATCATTTACATCTATTACATCGATTATGATCTTACTTGATCCAGAGAGCCCACCCTGATCAATCGCTTCTATATCGAGGGTAAACATTTTTTCCTTTTCATAATCTACTGCTCCAGCTAGAAGAACATCACCGTCATTATTAATGTAAAATAGTTCAGAAACCGTCTCCATGCTGTTTCCAATAACATAAGTTACCTTTGCATTTGCGCCGCTGTCTGCATCATTAGCTGTAACCTTGGTAACGAGCGTCCCTTTTGCCGAGTTTTCAGTAATAGTCGCTTTATAAACTGTTTTACTAAAAACTGGTGTGTTGTCATTTGCATCCAGCACGGTCACTCTGATCCTCATTGTTCCTGTCATTTGCGGTTCTCCTCCGTCCTCCGCTGTCAACACTAACGATAAATGCTCCTGCTTCTCTCGGTCTAAAGGCTTTTGTAAAACCATTTCCACTTTCTTGCTTCCATCAGACCGAGCGTGAGCTTGCAGATTAAAATTATCACTCGGTTTCAGAGTGTATCTCTGAAGACCATTGCGTCCAATGTCAGGATCAATTGCCTTTTCTAGCATGAATTTAGAGCCGATGGCTGCTGACTCGCTTATCTCAAAAACCCTCTCCTCCTTTTGGAAAGCCGGCGCGTTGTCGTTAATATCAGTAACCTCAACGGTAACGGGAAACAGCTCTAGTGGGCTCTCTAGCGTGATCTGGAAATGTAACGCACAAGGCGTTGTCTGTCTGCACAGAGCCTCGCGGTCTATTTTTTCCTTCATGAAGAGGACTCCCCGTTCTCTGCTCAGCTCGATAAACTGCGTCCTGTCTGTCGTGTAGATGCGAGCTTTGCCCGATTTAAGACGTCTAAGATCCAAGCCTAAATCCTGTGCTATGTTCCCGACCAAAGAGCCTTTTGGCATTTCCTCTGGAACTGAATAGCTGACCTGACCGAACACAGAACCGAGACACAGGACCGATATGAGCAGCACTTGCCGTTTCATTGTTCTGTCCGAAGGCAATGCCGAACAATGGATGCCGCGTTTTATTCCATTGAAGAGAAGATGAATCCGACCAAATGGATATTGAAATGAAAGAAACGCGTAATTCCAAGAAAAATGTCAATAGTGGCCTAATAGATCCAGGAATAAAGCCGAGCTCCCACGTCTGCCAAGTGAGCGCTCCTCATAAAAATGTCTGACCGGAGTAAGAGAGGATGTTTAATAAAAGCTTATTGCAGCTTCAAATCACTGGGCAACAGCGGCCCTTTGAGTCCAAATTGTGAAAATACAGGAGAGTGTGATATTAATTCATATAAAAAAAACAATGTTGAGACACAAAATTATATGTAAAAAATATTTTTAGGATGAATAAAATGTGGAAAATAAAGAAGGCTAAAGCAAAGCATCATAAAATTGTACAAAGCAAACACGACATTGCCAATGATCATAAAATAGAAGAATAAGAACGTCGAGATGGAAAAAAAAGAGTATGCGTTTCGCTGTCCATGGTGCTGACTATCACTCCATTACCTCTCAACTCAAGTCGAAGATTTACTCTTACAAAACCACATCTTACTCCACAACTAATAACATATAAATAACGTCTCTGAAAGTAAACTAAACGTTATGACTAATTAAAGTTTTGCCCCCATAAGGTGATCAAGAAACACATATTCATTTACACTTTTAGATATTTGCGAATCCGTACCATGCCAAGGTCATACTTCTAATCACACCAATATAGCATAAATGCAGTTGCAAAAAAACCTTTATAAGACGGAAATAAAAATAAAATAAAAGTAAAAAATAAAACTAAAGTCAAGAATGAATTAACTGAATTTTTTTAGCATAAAATTATTCCAGATAACAAAAACTGACACGAGAGTAGAAAAGAAAAAGACACAATTTCATGGATTACTAAAATAGTGCATAAAATAAAATTATTTGTTTTTTTCTGTATAAAATGTATCAAATATGGCCCTACATGTTTATTTGTTAAGTAAAAACAATAAAGGAACATTTGCACGTTTTAGGCAATTTAAAGAATTCTAACCTCCAAAGGAGAGTCAGGCTCATCCAGGATGCTCTTCTCACCCTGCATCCTCTGCATGGTTCCTGTAGAACTGGGGTCCATTACCAACACGTTCTGACTAGCAGCTCTGCCGAACTTACAGTCACTCTTTCTGGAGTCAGTGGTCCTGCACACCTCGTAGTTGTACACATGTTGGAGAGTTCCTGTCCCCAGCGTGTCTGAGTAACGTGGTGGATAATATGGAATGACAGGGAGGCTGGAGTGATACAGGATGCGAGACTGTCTCCATCTGTAGATTTTCACTGAGATGATAACCACCAAACAGGTGATGAAGAGGAAGGAAACTACAGCCAGAGCCAAGACTAAGTAAAAAGTCAGGTTGTCATTGTACTCCTTGTCGTGTGTAGAGTCAGTGAACTCCGACAGCACTTCAGGGAAGCTGTCCGCCACCGCCACGTTAACAATGACTGTAGCTGAACGAGAGGGCTGGCCGTTGTCCTCCACTATAACAGTCAGTCTTTGTTTCACAGCATCTTTATCAGTCACTTGACGGATAGTTCTGATTTCTCCATTCTGTAAGCCCACTTCAAACAGCGCCCTGTCTGTGGCTTTCTGCAGTTTATAGGAGAGCCAGGCGTTCTGTCCAGAGTCCACATCAACAGCCACCACTTTAGTCACCAGATAGCCCACTTCTGCTGAACGAGGCACCATCTCAGCCACCACGGAGCCTCCAGTCTGAACCGGGTACAGGACCTGAGGGGGGTTATCGTTCTGGTCCTGGATCAGTATTTTCACAGTCACGTTGCTGCTGAGAGGAGGAGAGCCTCCATCCTGCGCTTTAACGTGAAACCGGAAGTCTTTGATCTGCTCGTAGTCAAAAGAGCGCACTGCGTGGATGACTCCACTATCAGCACTAACGGACACATATGAGGAGACTGGAACTCCGTTAACGGAGGAGTCCTCCAGTATGTAAGAAACACGGGCATTCTGGTTCCAGTCAGCGTCTGTGGCTTTCACTGTGAATATAGAGAGACCTGGTGTGTTGTTTTCTACAATGTAGGCCTCATATGAGCTCCTCTCAAAGACAGGCGCGTTGTCGTTCACATCAGAGATCTGTAAGGTGAGAGTGACGCTGCTGGAGAGGGAGGGCACTCCTTCATCAGAGCAGCTCACCGTGATGTTATACTGCGCGTCGACTTCTCTATCCAGAGCTACCTCTGTCACCAAACTATAAAATCCGCCTATTGCATTTTCTATTTTAAACGGAATTTCATCATTAATTCTGCACCTAACTTCGCCATTTTTTTCTGAATCGGGGTCATTTACACTCAGCATGGCTACCACTGTACTCTCTGGAGCATTTTCAAGAATATATTCTGATTTAGAGAGTATTTTTACCTGAGGCCTGTTGTCATTTATATCTATTACATCAATAATTATCTTACTGGAATCAGAAAGCCCTCCGTTATCTGTAGCTTCTATATCAACCTGTAAGACCTTTGCCTTTTCATAGTCTATTTCACCGGTCAGGATTACTGCTCCAGTTTCTCTGTCAATCTTAAACATGTCTGATAAACGCTGCCTGCTGTTTGAAATAGAATAGGCTATCTCTCCATTTGATCCTCCATCTTTGTCTGACGCACTAACAGCAATGACGCTTGTCCCTCGCGGAGAATTTTCCTTTAATGACGCCTTGTAAACGGATTTAGAGAAAACGGGCGCATTATCATTAACATCTAAAATATTAACACTTATCTGCATGGTCCCTGACTTCCGCGGCTGTCCTCCGTCCACAGCCGTCAGTAACAGAGACAGGTGTCTCTCCCGCTCTCGATCTAAAGGTTTTTGTAAAACCATTTCTACTTTTTTTCTTCCATCCGCTTCACTCTCTAGTTTCAGAACAAAATGATCAGTGGGCTTCAGTAAATAGCTCTGAAGACCATTTGATCCTATATCCGCATCCACAGCTTTGTCCAGGACAAATTTAGAGCCGACAATCGCCGACTCGCTGATCTCAAAACGTTTCTCGCTCGAAGCAAAGCTGGGGGCATTGTCGTTAACGTCTGTGATCTCGACTGTTATTCTAAACAGTTCCATCGGGTTTTCCAGAATCATCTGTAGATGTAAAGCGCAGGGCGTCGTTTCTCCGCAAAGCGTCTCTCGGTCTATTCTCTCCCTGATGAGGAGGACTCCTCGCTCTCTGCTCAGCTCGATGAATTCTGCACTGTCTCCTGAATGAAGGCGAGCTTTGCCCGATTTTAGCCTCTTAACATCCAAACCTAAATCCTGAGCTACATTGCAGACTAAAGAGCCTTTTTCCATTTCCTCGGGAACAGAGTAGCTGACCTGCCCGCAGACCGCAATGGTGCATGAAAGCCAGAGGAACAATAGTACTTGCCGTCTCATTGTGCTGAAGCGATATTCCAAACACGAATCCACGAGAAAATAGGTAGAAATATCCCAACGTTAACCAGATATATGTTCATGTAAAGAGCAGCCTTACACTGGTGACAACAAATGTCCTTTTAACCAAGTATTTGCGGATTGCTTCTGTTTTATTGTCTACTAGATCACATCTAGAGGGGAGGAACAGTTAGGAATAACTATCAAAGACTGCCACACACTGGTCAGAAGCAGCCTTTTACATTTGGGACATTAAAAACAAAGAAGACAAAAATATTTACAGCTTAATG